TCTTCCCCTGGGCGCCAGATGAGGGAACCCACAGCTCCACTGGGATGGTCATGGGGCCGCATGCTTACTTACCAGGGGTCGAAGTCGGTCTCACTCTCCTCCGGAGTGGCCAGAGTTCACAGCTCCTCCTGGTCAGGAGGGGCGTACTCAGCAACCTCTACCCCTTTCAGCGCTGTTTTGTGGTCCTTGACCGGCTGCTTTTCAGGCTTCCTGCCCCCAGCAGTTTTCAGCTTGGAGCTTGGCTTGGTGAGGCAATCAGCTGCTTGATGCCCCTCCTTCCCACACTTGAAGCATGCCGTGGACCTCTGTTTGGCTGCTGGCCTGCCTTTGGCCGCTCTCTGGGCCTGAGGGGGAAGGCTTTCTCCTACTGCGGCTTCCACTGTGCCAGTCTAGCCAGATCGATTTCCGCCTCTGCTACCAACACATACCAGTGCTGAATGAGGGGCTCCCCAGGAGACACAGCTCTGATCGATGTCTTTGTCAAGCCCATCTTTGTAGCACTCCAATCAGGACCTCTGGGGGCCAGCCATGTATGTGGCAGGCCAATTCAAACTCCTGGGTGTATTCTGCTACTGATTTATGGCTGTCTTCCTTCCTTGTGTTCAGCTAGAGGGTCCTCGGACCGCGTGCGGAGCGCCATCATAAGGGAGGTGGTAATAGTTGGGGGGGCATCATCGTTGTGAAGAGTGACCATCCAATCTGCTGCGGCCCCTTCCAGGGCCATGATGACACATCTCACTTTGGCTGCCTCCGAAGCAAAGTCCTCTCCGTATTCCTGCATGTGATTCCAAACTTGAGCTTGGAAGAATCCCCACAACCATCTGGCTCGGACTGGTTTCTCCTTGAGCTGCAGCTCCTCCAGCCACTCGGTCTCCTCACGGCAGCGGTGTGGCTGGGAGGAGGTCGACTCCAAGGCTCCCCAGACTTCCTGCTCGCTCCCTTGGGTTGACATTGTGTTCTCAGCCCCCTTGGTAGACTAGGTTGGCCAGTAAAGCAGACCTTCCTTAATGTCAGGCCTGCCTCCGTTCAAAACCCAAGAAAGAAAACCTCTGACTCCACTGAGGTAGTGAAGAGGTGCTTGTACTGAGTTTGAAATGGTACCAGTGAAAGCAAAACAACATCTGATTTAAAAGGCACGAAAGTTACAAGTTGAAAGTTTCCCCCAAACCCTCCCTCCCCAGGGACCCAGGCTGAATGTCCAATCCACATTCCACATAATGTCATGTGAAGCTCATCTTCAGGTATTTTCAACCATCTGGAGTTAAAGGATGGTTGGCCTTGATTGGGTGTAAACAACTCCACTCAGCAGCACAGTAGTTCTTGAGATCAAACCTCCCTTTTAGTTCACATGGATCTTCACACCAACTCACTTCCCAAACCCAAATGCTATCCCCCACTTCCCGTTACTATGACAGCCGATAGCAAGCATGCATCAAAGGAAAAACCCATGCTGGAGAGCCAGCTGACAGGATCCCTGTAATATTTAGGCCTGACTTCTACCCTACCAGGCATCAAAGCCTCCTTCACCTCCATAACTTTAGAAGATCTCTGAACCTTGTGGGGAAAGAGGGCAGGACATGCATCTCTGTCATACAGCCGTTACTTTGACTGTGCCCGGGATTCATCCCTGGGCCCTGCAGTGGATTTGTGGAAGCAGCTGCCATTTTGCCAAGCCTGCCTCTTATGTCAATATGGTGGCTGCTTCTGGGTCACTGGGAGTGGGAGAAACTGTTTTACTTTGCTACCTTAACACTTTGTAGACCGTGTTAAGGAGTTGTGGGTGTACTGAAAATGATGGCTATCTTCAGGAGACCTCTAAACGTGCAGGCCATGTGTCCCTGGGGTGCATGGGAACTCAATAAGTACCCCTTGTACTGCCAAAAAACAGTCAATGCAGTCCTAGGTTGTCTCAACAGAGGAATAATGTCAAGACAACAAGAGATAGAATTGCTTTACACAGTGCTGGTGACAACACACTTGGAATACTCTGTCTCGTTCTGGTCACTATGTGCAGAGAAGAGCAACAAAGATGAGAAAAGGTCATTAGGAGAGACATGATAGTTGTCTTTCAGTACTTGAGTGTCTGTCACAAGAAGCGGTTTGACTTATTCTCTAGGGCAGTGGCCCCCAACCTTTTTTGTCCCACGGCCTGGTACTGGCATCACAAAATGATCCACGGACCGGTACTGGCATCAGCGCGCACGACCAAGGCAAGGCGAGCTGAGCAACCGGCCAGCCAGCCGTCCCCCGCTTCTCCCCGCCACCTTCAACTCCTCCTTTGTACCTTTGTCGATGGGCTTTTCGGGCTCTTTCTTAATCTCCTCCTAACGCGAGACTCCACCGCCATCAGGACTGCTCTTCGTTCGAAGCCGCCCCCCCACCCTCGACGAAACTAAGGCACGAGGATTCCTCCAGCACCCAAACACCGCTTTCCAACCGACGACCGACAAGCTCACCCGGAAGCACTTTCTCAAGCGCCGTCGAAACAAGATGGCACCCACTTCTTTGCGGCCCGGTAAAAAATGATCCACGGACCGGGGGCCTGGTGGTTGGGGACCACTGCTCTAGGGCACCAGAAAGCAGGACAAGAAGGAATGGGGGGAAGCTTGTTAAAATAAGGTCCAACTTAGAAAGAAAGAGAAATTGTCAGTGAGAGCAATTAATCAAAGCAATAACTTCCCTCTGGGTTATGTGGGTGCTTCATCACTGGAGGTTTTCAAGAATAGGCTGGACAACCATTTCAGTGGGATAGTATAAAGCTCCTGCCTTGAGCAGCAGCTTGGACTAGAAGCCTTCTAGGGTCCCTTCCATGCCCATCATGCTGTGTTTCCATGAATTTAGAGGCAGGTTAGAAAATTTAAATTACAAACTCAAAAAAAAAATTTTTTTTTTAAACCAAAAGTTGTCACGACCTTCAACCTTCTTTTTTTAATATTTGTCTGTCCAAGCCTGCAAGTCCTCCAATTCCCTAGGTGTTATGGAAGAGGTCGCTTAAACTCTGCTGAAGGTGTTACCTAGCCTGGTAAAACAAAACGTTCAGAAACCAACCCACAACCTCCACCCTTAGTCATTGAATAAAGTTTGGGTTTAGGCAGTTTAGCACCTAGCAGGATGCTATGGAGCAGTCAGTGGGCTAGTGGGGTGGGAGCTCGTCTGAACCCTACCGCCAGTCCCAGTACTCCTATGGAATTTGAGGGTCAGCCTTCTTTTGCTCTTGCATTAGTGCCCCCACCTCCTTTGGGGCCCCTGGGTCCTTTCCCAGCTCTTCTTTTGCTTTAGTCCTCTGAATTTTAAGAAGCCGCCTCCTCCAGTTCACATAAGGATTCCATTTCCGTAGCCATGTTAATCCTAGCACCAGGGGTCTTTCCATATACCCAGAGCTACGATGATACTGAGTCTCTGTGTGCGCCTCCATCTGTATTTCTATCAGCTCAGTGACTAGAAACACACCCCGCTACAGATCTGTCCAGCTGGCAAAATGCCACCGGCACTGTGATTGGTCTAAGTCTCACTCCCAGCTTAACCAGGGCAGGGTACAGTAGCATCTGGTGCACCCTGAGTCCAGAAGGGCCACTAAGTTGGCTTTTCGTCCTGAGGATTGGACTACGAGTTCAATGTGGACTGTCACCAGAGTGATCGGGCCACTTACAAGGGGATCATCATCACAGTCAGGGTCACTCTCGCCAGGACCCCTTCCCTAGACTAGCTGGAGTTATCTCACCATCTTTGAGGGGATGGGGTGAATTCTCTTTCCAGGGCTGTTTTGTGGCAGTTTGGTGGGCTTCTTGGTAAAACCCCAGGGACACCTTTGGGCAGGATGGCTGGATTTGCATTTGGCGGCCTGGTGTCCCTCCTTCTCACACTTGAAGCAGGCAGTGGAACATTACTGGAGGCTCTCCAACAAACATGCAAGAATAAAAGCCACACCTAGGAAAATATGTTTAGGATCTTATACACTCATTCAGCCAAACTGAGACAAAAGTTTGTTATTCAATGTGGGTAATGTCTTGCCCATTCTGCCCTTATCCATGGAGCATTCTTTGTCCATGTTCTGTCTATGCTTTGTTATCTTACAGAACATCCCTTGTAGTCTTGTGTGTTCGTACTCCTAGGCAGCCTTCTGCTCTGGCCCCATTTATCTATGGAGCAGGATGTTCCTGGGTAACTGTTTTGTTCTGTCTCCAAGGATGTGCCTAGCTTTGAAGCACATAACAGAAGCAAGAAACCAGACAGTAAAGGATACCATTCTTAACAAGCGAGGGTTACAGAATTAATTCCTAACCGCAGGAAAATAACATAAGCAATTCTTAACAGAAACAAATGGCAAAGGTTAGATTGATTCCTGACACTATGTCCTTTCAAATATGAGTTAGCGGCATGCTGTAATTACCTAAAAAGTCAATTCAGTCCTAGTCTGCAGCATTACAGAGATAGTGTCAAGAAAAAAAAAAGAGAAAGTGTCAAGATCACATGAATTGTTAGTACTGTGTTATGCTGTATTAATTGTCAAGCCTGACTTTGTGTACTGAAAAAAAACTACACTTTGAATACTGCATCCAGTTTTGGTCACCAGGACACAAAAAAGATGTTCAGACTGTAGAAAGAGTTCAGAGAAGAAGAACAAAGACATTTAGGGGAGTGGAGGGTAAAACATACAATGAACGATTGTATGAATTGGATAACAGAGAAGGACTGTGGCTTGATATGATAGCAATCTTTCAGTATTGGAAGGACTGACCCAGAAAAGAGGAAGCATACAGCTAATTTTCACAAGCTAAGAACACATTCCACTTGGCTCAGCTGCAAAGATAGGTTGCTAGGAGTCTGAAATTGACTTGATATCATGTGATCCGTGAGAAGATCTGGCCAATACCATCGGTAGATGGGACAAGCCTGTTTTTTTTGGCCTCCTATCGCGAGATGGCAGCGTCTGTGACTGGAAAGCCAACAACACAATAGCGGCCTCTCTGGTTGACCTTAAAGGAGTTAAAACCATCGAGTACTGTATTACTAGAAAGAATGGGAGGAGAGAAGAAGCACAAAGGAACTTCCTCTTCCGGAATACTAACGGACACGAGAGGAGAGTGGCGTGCAGAGAGGTTCCTGCGCCTTTTCCAAGGATCATTCGAAGCCTCAGCTGGCAGGTGAGTTGAGGGCAGGTCGGAGGAGAATCCGGGAGCAGCTCAGGCTTGTTTGGTTCCCTCCACGGCGTGGAAGCAGAGAAGCAGCTAGAATATGGCATAACACTTGGAAGGGATCTTTGAGGTCATCTAGTCCAGCCCCCTGCTCCAGCAGGAGACCTTATACCATCTCAGGCACATGGCTGTCCAGGCTCTTCCCGAAAGCCTCCAGTGATGGAGCACCCGCAGCTTCTGCAGGCAAGCTGGTTAATTGTTCTCACAGTCAGGATATTTCTGCTTGCTTCTCTCCTTGATTCGTTTCCATCCATTATTTGTTGTTCTGCCTTCAGATGCTCTGTGGAAGAGGTTGAGCCCCCCCTTCTTTGGGGCAGCCCCTCAAATATTGGAAGATTGCTATCATGTCACCCATCCTCCTCCTCCTCTTCTGTAGACTAGACCGAACTCCTGCTACCATCTTTGTATGTTTTAGCCTCAAGGCCCCCGAGTATGTTTGTTGTTCTTTCATTTCGTCTCTCTTAGTATTAAGTCCAGTAGAGCTGACCCTCTAATTCCATCCTTTACCTTTTGGGTGATAAAGTTCTCAGGTTCCTCAGGGCCTCCTGCTCAAGCAAGGGATTGGGCTAGATAGAAGATCTCCCAAGATTTCTTTCAACTCTGTTGTTCTGTTATGGACCCTGTTATGTTTTCTTGGCAATAATATTGGACTGATCTGACATTGTGTCTTTTGATTTTTTACTTCCATGTCTAACCAACAAGCACGGTATTTCCTATAGGTGCCCCCTCCATGTATTAACCAGGTTCAGCTATTGAAGACCTTACCTCAATACCTACTAATACCCGTAGTTCTCACTTACCATTTGTTTCATGAGTCTTCGAAGTTACTATGGCACTGCAAAAGCAGATGTAGACCTGGTCCTGAAATCTGTGGTCCTCGTAACACTTGTTCAGTGACCTGAACATGTCAGCAGTTCCTGTGGTTGTGTAGATGCAGGAAAAGGAGTTGCAACCAATTTGGGTTCTTGCCAACTGGTGCACCTTTATGATGGTTGCAACGTCCCACCCTCATGATCCCCATTTGTGACCTTCCCAGGTAGCTTCACACAAGTTAAATCAGTGGCGATGCCGGTAGGAAGTTGAAAGCCACGGTCAGGTGAATTTGCCTTTAACAACCCACATCTGCAGAGGAACAGGTGTAAGTTGGCACTGTCATGTGACATCATGCTTCATGATCAGGCTGCTTAGTGACACAGATGCCAGTCCCAAATGTAGTCAGTAAGTGAGGACTGCTACAATAGGAATGTCACCAGAGTGGTTGTGGAAAGTATTTCTTGACCTTATTTGGATCTCAGAACTTCCATGGCAAAACTGGTGCTTCAAATCTTGCAGAGACTTTAGGCATCAGTTAAAGCCCCACATCTCTAAAAGTAGCTCAAAAGGTTTGTAACCATTTTGGAACATTTTTCAAGCTGAATGCACATGGATCTTTCACATATATAAATTTGTTTGTGTGCTTATTTCTATTTTTCTCTGTATTCATATAGCTACAATTGTATAATCTATCCCCAGCATTTCCTGATATATTTCAGGAAGAATTTGCTAAGAATTTGGGTTTTTTCCCCCACAAAAAATATATTAATACCTCAAGAACAAAGTCCAAAAGCAGTGTCCATATAGAATTAACCATGTTCTTTTCTTTAATCAGAGCAGTCAATTTAGCCATCTCTGCTAACGCCATCAGTTTTTACAGCCATTCGTCCATTGTGGGAATGAAAATATTCTTCCATTTTTGTGCACAAAGTATTTTTGCCTCAATCAACACATATAATATCAATGTTCCATTTTTTTCAAGTTCTTTATCCATTAAGCCTTAAAAAAAAAAACACCTATGTGCTTTTATCTTTATATTCACTTTAGTAGTTCTGTTTTAAAATGTGTATCTTACTCCAAAATTCCTTTGCTTTGTGACATGTCCACCATCAACGATAAAAAGCTTTTCTTTAATGGATAAAATCCATTGCCTTTATATCATTCCCTAACCGTATCATACAATAAATAGTCTTGCCTTCAAAATCTTAATTCATGGCCCTCTAGTTCAAGTATCGTCTTCATTTGGAGAGTCACCCACTCTTTTTTCCCAAACAAAACAACAAGCATCAAAGTACAATTTTAAATCTGGTAAACCCAACCTCCTATTTCCTTAGCACAAAGGTCTTCAGACTTGACAACTTTAAGACTTGTGGATTTCAACTCCCAGAATTCCTCCTCCAGTCATGTTAGCTCAGGAATTCGGGGAGATAAGTCTTAAACGTGCCAAGTTTGAAGACCCTTGCCTTAGCGTCTTGCGATCATTTATATTTAGTTCTTGTTTATTCCCTTGCAATATAAACTTAGAGATCTCCATCTGCCATTGTTTAAACAGAGTATCACAAGTGTTGGTAAAGTCTGAAACAGAAAATGCATCTTTGGTAATTTAGAGTGCTGGAGGCTAAAACATACAAAGAATGGTTACAGGAATTGGGTATGTCTAGTCTAATGAGAAGGACTAGCTGAGACATGACAGCAGTGTTCCAGTATTTTAGGGGCTCCTACAGAGACAACTCAAACTATTTTCCAGAGTAACAAAAGAAACAATGGATGGAAACTAACCCATGAAGCAACCTTGAACTAAAGAGAAAATTCCTAACAATTACAGCAATCAACCAATGGAATAGCTTCCCTTCAGAGGTTTTGGGTGCTCCATCACTGGAGGCTTTCAAAAAGAGATTCGACAGCCACTTGTCTGAAAATGGTATAAAGTCTATCGCTTGAGCAGAGGGTTGAACTAGAAGACCTTCAAGGTCCCTTCCAACTCTATTATTCTGTTGTAGGTAACATTCATCTTAATTACAGCAATTCTATCCAATAATTGATGTACTAACAATTTGTATTGACCGAAATCAACATGAGAATTTCATGGTTGAATGCAGATGTGAACTTGGATCTCGGTAATCTTCACAGTGTCAAACGAATCATAATTCATGTAAGATGTTCTTTTAGCATTGTGGCATGTTTGCTTTTTACCTTTAATGTACATGCTTTTCTTTTTTCACATCTTCTGCAACCATTTTATAAACAATACAAATTACTCTTTCCTTTGAATCTTATAGACAAAGAAGATGCCAATAAGACCACTCCGGACAACTGAGAATAACAAGGAACGTTAAAGAGGAAAGCAAATCAATCCAGAAATTGTGTTCTAGGATCATGTGATCCCTTTTTGCAGCTGCACAGATGTGTCAATTGTGGGAAAAGTGCAGATTTCAAATCACAACGGAGTATGCACAAAATGATCCACATTGGAGAAAAGTAATACTAATGTGGCCAAAGTTTTGGTTAGAACAGCTCCCTGGTGGTTCATAGGTGGACCCACATAGGAGAGGAGCCCTACAAGTGCTCCCAATGTATTGAGTATGGCAGCTTGGTAATACATTAGAGAACTCACACCAGGGAAAAACCTTTTGAATGCGCTGTTTGTTGGAAAAGTTTTGGTCTGAACTCCAGCCTGGTGATAAACTAGATGATGCCCACCAAAAAGAAATCATATGAGTGTCCTGATTGCAGGAAATGTTTCACTGCAAATTCCCTCCTTGTGATGCACCAGAGAACACATACAGGAGAGAAACCTTTTGAATGTCCTGCATGTGGGAAAAGTTTCCGTCAGAAGTCCCACCTGGTGGTACACCAGAAGATTCACACAGGAGAGAAACCATTTGAATGTCCTGATTGTGGGAAAAGTTTCATTCAGAATTCTCACCTGGCAAAACACCAGAGGACTCACACAGAAGAGAAACCATATGAGTGTCCAGTTTGTGGGAAAAGTTTCAGTCATAATTCCCACCTGATGGCACACCAGAGGATTCATACAGGAGAGAAACCATTTGAATGTCCTGATTGTGGGAAACGTTTCAGTCAGAATTCTGGCCTGTTGAAGCACCAGAGGACTCACACAGGAGAAAAACCTTTTGAATGTCCTCTTTGTGGGAAAAGTTTCAGTCAGAATATCAACCTGGTGAACCATCAGAGGACTCACACAGGAGAGAAACCCTTTGAATGTCCTGATTGTGGGAAAAGTTTCAGACACAACTCCAACCTAGTGTTTCACCAGAAGACTCACACAAGAGGTAAACTCTTCGAATGTCCTGATTGTGGGAAAAGTTTCAGACACAACTCCAGCCTATTGTTTCACCAGATGACTCACACAGGAGAGAAACCCTTTGAATGTGCTCTTTGTGGGAAAAGTTTCAGTCATAATTGGCAACTGGTGATACACCAGAGGACTCACACAGGAGAGAAACCATATGAGTGCCCGGTTTGTGGGAAAAGTTTCAGACAGAATTCCCACCTGGTGATACACCAGAGGACTCATACAGGAGAGAAACCATTTCAATGTGCTCTTTGTGGGAAAAGTTTCAGACACAGTTCCCAACTGGTGATACACCAGAGGACTCACACAGGAGAGAAGCCGTATGAGTGTCCTGTTTGTGGGGAAAGTTTCATTGACAATTCCAGATTGGTGAAACACCAGAGGACTCATACAGAAGAGAAATCATATCAGTGTCCATATTGTGGGGAATGTTTCATGAGAAAATTCCAGTTCATGAGTCACCAGAGGATTCATACAGGAGATAAACCCTTTGAATGCACTTTCTGTGGGAAAAGGTTCAGTCACCAAAGCCGCCTGGTGACACACCAGAGGACTCACACTGGAGAGAAACCGTATGAGTGCCCTCTTTGTGGCAAACGTTTCAGTCAGAATTCCAACCTTATTGGCCACCAGAGGACTCACACAGGAGAGAAACCCTTTGAATGTCCTGATTGTGGGAAATATTTCATTAGCAATTCCAATCTCATAAAACACCAGAGGACTCACACAGGAGAGAAACCCTTTGAATGTCTAGACTGTGGGAAAAGTTTCAGTCATAATTCCAGCCTGGTGATACACCAGAAGACTCACACAGGAGAGAAACCCTCTGAATGTCCTGATTGTGGGAAAACTTTCATTACAGAATTACAGCTCACAAATCACCAGATGACACACACAGGAGAGAAAGCTTTTGAATGTCCTGACTGTGGGAAAAGTTTCAGTCGTACTTCCAGCCTGGCTAAACACCAGAGGATTCACACAGGGGAGAAACCATATAAGTGTCCTGTTTGTGGCAAAAGTTTCAGTTGGAATTGCTACATGGTGAAACACCAGAGGACTCACACAGGAGAGAAACCGTATGAGTGTCCTGTTTGTGGCAAAAGTTTCAGTCAGAATTCCAACCTGATGATACATCAGAGGACTCACACAGGAGAGAAACCGTATGAGTGTCCTGTTTGTGGCAAAAGTTTCAGTCTGAATTCCCACCTGGTGATACACCAGAGGTCACATGAAAAACAATTTGAATGCCCTGATTGTGGAGAAAGTTTCCATTTCAATTCAAACCTGGTGAAACACCAGAGAACTCACATGGGAGAAACTTTTCTAATGTCCAATCTTTGGACAGCACTTTAGGCCTAGATAACTCCTTATCGCAGGGGTGTCAAACTCTTATTTCATTGAGGGCTGCATCAGGTTTGTGTTTGACCTTGGGAGGCCAGGGTGGATGTGGCTATCTTGACATCACTCATGTCGGGGGTACCTGTGGTGGGCGAGAGCTTTGCCAACAAAAACGAGTTCCTGAGCTCTGTTTTCGCTGCGACAGCCTCCTGCAACCCTCTGCCAGCAAAAACAGAGCTCAGGAGAGCTGCATTGCAGCCCTTGTGAGTTCCATTTTCACTGGCAGAGGCACCATGGGCCAGTCCTTCGCTGTTTCCAGGGCAGCCTCACAGGCCAGATCTAAGCACCCCGTGGGCTGGATCTGGCCCCTGGGCCTTCAGTTTGACACCCCTGCCTTATTGCATATAACTAAATTCATATGAGGCCAAAGTTAATGAGTTTAGAGAAGGTTTGAATTTCATTTCTGAACTCCCGTTAAGAGTGTAGGTGAGAAATAGACTCTGGATATTGGCCTGATCCTTTTTAGTCAACACATTGCAGGTTTATACCTGTAGTTGGAGAGAGAAAAAATGTGAAATCTGTTTGATAAAGGTGAACTACCTGTTTCTAGATATCATATATTGGTTGTGGAGTTCCACAATGTGGAGTTTCTCTCTTCTACTTTTTTGAGCTTCAGATTAGGAGTGCCATAATTCCCCAGCCACCATACAAGTAGTCCGCGAGATACAACTGCAAATTTTGGTTGCATGTGTTCTAACCTAGGCTTCTCAGGATCATGAAGCAGACTCCTCGTTCCAGTAAAACCCCTTTTATTTAGGTTAAAGTGAATTCCTCTCCAGCAAAGTCTCGGCAAAGAGTCTTTCATGAGATTTCACAACTACAGACGTTTCTTGGGCTTGGAGAGTTGCCAGGCCGATATCTTCCAAATGTAGCAGCAATTACTTGGCAAGAAATCAGGAACAGATCTTCACCCTAATGAATTGAATTAATTGTCTCCGGAAAAACTACTCCCCTCTCGCTCCTCTTTATTCCCTATGGGAGGGGGCATTCACCTGAGCCTTTACTCCCAAGTTGACCCTTGGTCCTTAACTGTTCCTTTCTCCTGGCAACTCTGCACAAGCGCAACTGGGAACAGGCTCCAGCTGTTCTTCTGCCCCACTTATCTCTGACTCCGAAGGCAGCTGATAACTGTCAGATGGCCCTGGCCCCATCTCTGCCTCAGATGCAAAGCACTTGTCAGAGTCTTCCCCAGACTCCAGGACTGGCCCATGTTCCTCCCCAACCTCACTGTCCAAGTCTGTCACCAGCTCAGCTGGCAGGCCACAAGAGCATGTTGTAATGTTGGTTAAGTGGTTAAGTACTTTGCTGAACTATCGCCACCCCCTTCTCTCCCTGATGAAGCTGTCAAACGAATGTGTAAGTTGTTAAACTCAACAGTGGCTACTTCAGAGTTTGGGGAAGCTCTTGGAAGCTTCGTGGTTTGCTTTCCAAAGGCCTCCCCTATCCCAATCTTTGGGTCCTCCCAGGCCTTTCCCTTCCTCACAGGTCCCTATAGGCCAATGATGGCGAACCTTTTTGTTGTGGTGTGCGGAAAGCGTGTGTGCATGCTGGCACCCACAATGCAATGTGTCCGTCCCCCCCCGTGCAGGCACATGCAATACTCCTGTCCTGCCCCCTTATCTGCACTGCGCATGCGCGCACCTCCCAGCTGATTTTTGGCCCATTTGAAGCCGTTTTGCCCACCTGGAAGCTCGAGGGAAGCCTCTGGAGCCTCAGGAGGCTGAAAACGGGCCAGTTTCAGCACTTCCAGAAGGCCCGTTTTTCCAGTATTTCCAGAAGGCCCGTTTTTCAGCCTTCTGAGGCTGCAAAGGCTTCCCTCGAGTCTCTGGAAGAGCAAAAATGGCCTTCCCCGAGCTCCAGAAGCCCTCCAGAGGCTGAAAATGGGCACTTCCTGTATTTCCGGAAGGCCTGTTTTTCAGTCTCCCGAGGCTACAGAGGATTCCCTCGAGCCTCTGGGAGGACGAAAATGGCCTCAAACAGGCCGAAAATCAGCTGGGAGGTGCACACATGCGCAGTGCAGGTAAGTTTGGCTGGGGCTTGCGTGCCTGCACAAATGGCTCTGCATGCCACCTGTGGCACCTATGCCATAGATTCGCCATCACGGCCATAGGCCTTTCCCTCCCCCAAAGGGTCCCCACTTCTACTGGATCCATGCAATCCTTAGGCCTTACTCCCATCCTACCATGCATCAATTCTCCATACCTTTTGAAGATTTCTGAACCTCGTGGGGAAAGAGGGCAGGACATGCATCTCTGGGCTGCATGACTGCCTTATGGAAAGAGCTGTTATTTTGTCTGGCTCAAGATTCATCCCTGGGCCACGCAGTGGATGTGTGAAGGCAGCTGCCATTTTGTATGCCTGCTTCTATCAATATGGTGGCTGCTTCTGGGTCACTGGGAGTAGGACAAACTGTTCTGTTTTGCTATCTTAATACCTTGTAGACTGTGTTAAGGAATTGTGGGTGCAGTGAAAATGGTGGCTGCCTCTGGGAAATCTCCCTAAGGGCAGGCCATGTATCCCTGAGGCACATGAGAATGGACAAATACCCCTTGTGTCAGTGTTGTGTTGCAGCTGCCAAAAAAAAAGCCAATGCAGTGCTACACTACATCAACAGAGGAATAATGTCAAGACAATAAGAAGCGATAGAATTGCTTTACACAGTGTGATGACACCACACTTAGAATACTGTGTCCAGTTCTGGTCACCATGGTACAAAAAATTTGTTGAGACCTTGGAAAGTGTGCAGAGAAGAGCAACAAAGATGATAAAGGGTCTGTCACAAAGAAGAGTGGATTGACTTATTCTCTAGGGCACCAGATGGGAGGACAAGAAGTAATGGACGTTTGTTAAAATGAGGCCCAACTTAGAAGTAAAGAGAAATTGTCTTATCAGTGAGAGCAATTGATCAATGCAATAACTTGCCTCCAGGTTTTGTAGGTGCCTCCATCACTGGAGGTTTTCAACAATAGACTGGAGAACCAGTTGAGCGGGATGGTATAAAGCTCCTGCCTTGAGAAGCGGGTTGAACTTCCGGGGTCCTTTTCAAGGCTATAATGCAATGTTTCAATGAATTTAGAGGCAGTTTAGAAAATCGATAAAGAGCAGCCCCCATGAACTTGTTTCTTGTAAAATGGCTGTTTTGAAAAAAAAAAAATTATTCAGGAAAATTAATATAAATTAAACTCCAAAACGAAAACAACAAGGATATATACAACATTTAAAAATAAAAATGTGCATTAAAAAGACAAAAAGAGATTTACACGTATTATCCCCTCCATTTGAGTATTCATAAATATATTGGAGCAACCTTAGTTTCCTCCCCTTGCGAAGCAGGCCCAAAATTCATAACATTCTACCTCTACAAACAATTTGACTTTCATATACTGTATCTACTATAGAAAGAGGCAAAGTGGTTAACAGGAGAATCAACAGCAAAGTTAAAAACGGCAAAGCATTAAAAATCCAGTTTTGCAGTTAACATAAAGTATAGAATGGCTTCTTATTTACCATAAGTCACTATAATCATTGTCTCTGATCTGCCAGGGATGAAATATTTTTGATTCTTACGAATAAAACTTTTTCTGTTGATTTTGGTTGAGAACAATCAAACCACAATTGTGTCTTGTTCCTCAAAATCATAAACCTCTGTTGTCGATCCATTTCCCCAAGAGTCCAGTCCAAATTGTTTTCCAGTTAGATATGGCAAGTCCATTTCCCAGTTACCACCAACTTCATCATGCATTTAGTCTGTTCACTCCAAATAGTTAACAGGAACTGGGCATGGCTAGTCTAGTGAAGAGAAGGATCAGAGGAGACACGACAGCAGTGTCCCAATATTTGAGAGGCTGCCACAGAGAGGAAGGGGTCAAGCTATTTTCCAAAGCATCCGAAGGCCAGACAAGGAATAATGGATGGAAACTGAACACGGAGAGAATTTAACCTGGAAATAAGGAGAAACTTTCTGACTGAGAACAATCAACCCATGGAACAGAAGTTGCCCTCGGAAGTTGTCGGAGCGTCATCACTTGAGACTTTCAAGAAGAGGTTGGACTCCCATCTGTCAGAAATGATGTAGGGTCTCATGCTTGGGCTAGATGACTTACAACTCATCTGTTTAAATCTGTAGGATCCACATCCGCTCTGCCTCCAACCAATCTGCAGTTTCCAAACCGTAGTGAGGGGTCTTTTAAGAAGCGACTGTGCTCCCCATGGGAGATTCTTGGGAAGAGCTCAGGCTTATAAAGGGATTCATTTGTGTGCGCTCATAATCCCAAACTCCTCCATCAGTCCCAGAGGAAGGGTACTTCCCAGAGCAGAAATTGTTTTTTTTTTCTCACCACAATCCTTCACATCCTTTTGGGTGAACCACCAGCTAGGTACAACCATTATTTTCTTCCTGTGATGCTTCCAGCAAATGACATCCACTGCACGTGGCTTTTTGTTCCTGGGTGTAATAGAGGTAGTCCCCCCCTTACCATTTGTCTCGTTTAGTAAATATTCAACATTATGTTGGGTTAGGGCTCGCTTTGCAAACAATCCTTGCATTTTAAATCATCCAACTGCCCAACGATCATGCGATAGCCATTAGCATGCTGCCCAACCAGCTTAAAACAAGCAAAATCCATGGAGAAGACTGAAATCAAATCACAAGTAGCAGTCAGGTGAGGTCTCAAATGCCTACAGTCATTCATTTAATGTCTAGAGGCTAAATGAAGTCAAAAGCCTGTTGCAATCAGATGATTTTTTCACTTAGCAGTCATAAACCTCAGCAGCAGAATTGCCAGTCATGGTTGTGGTCCCTAAGTGAGGACTACCCACATTCCTCACCACCCTGTGGGCTGCTTCTTCCTGCAGTTGATGGGGGAGAAGATCAATGTGCAGTAGGGAGTGTTGGAAGAATTATCTTTCCGGGTTCAGTTCCAAGTGGGGAAGAAAGACCCTGGAAACACGGTGACTGCTTGGGAAAATGGTTTAATGGTGGACAAGGCCACGTGGCTTGGAGCTCCATAGTGGAAAAGAACGATCACATGCTTCAAGATGAAGGAAAAGAAGGAAGGGCTGATCTGCTGAGTGTGCCCGGGTTTTATGCCCTCTGTTGGGATTTGAATTTGAGCTTGTATTCTGATTAGTTGTCAGATTCCCATGGGGCCATGCAGGGGCAACTCTGTAGGCTGTCCTGAGTCCCAGGCTTGGTTGAGCCTTGTTGGATGATGATGTAATGAAAAGGGCTTTGGGCAATTCCTACAGCTCTACTGGAGATCTTTGTTATGTAAAATAGGCTGGCCCAGGCCAGAGTAATGGCCTATTAGCAAAGGGGTGGGGGCTGAGTTTCTGCTTCTGAGTTTCTACTCTTTTGAGGGGAAATATTCTGCCTTTTTAATATTTCCTAGGACATTTCATTTTTCTAGGAGAGGAGTGGGTGCCAACTTCCTACAGGAGTCTCTCGGGGTGGCTTTCCTATTAGAGAGCTGGCGTGCTGCAGGGGGGAAGGAGCTGTTGCTGGACTAGGAGTGGGGACACCCAAGTGCCAGTCCCTCCTCAGCCATGAAAGGTCCCTCAGGCCCAGCCCCACTTGGTAGACCAGACCAAGAAATCAAGTCCACAGGAAGATTCTTCAACACTTTTTATTATTGAGACTGAATGTTAATAAGAAAATTTTGCACGTCTGATCGTGTTGAACCGCCTACCCGTTTCTGATGTTCCTCTGAATTAGGGAGGTGTTTGTCTGAGCCTGTTTGTAACATTCTCTGTTGTGGACTTGAGAATAGGTT